ACAGCAAAATATGTAATTTTCATTTTAGCAGAAATGATATTATAGCAGGTATGGGATATACTCGTGTAATTTTACGTCCAGATGCGGTGCCAAGAGGCCAGTCTTCAAATAATGAAGAAAATGAGCAGTGTAATACATTATTAAATGTAAAAGAAGTTTTCAATATTGAAAATAGTAAAACCAGTATCTTGACTGACAGTATTGATCATAATTATATTGATAACGAAGCTGCTATAAAGAACACAAATTTAATGGAATTATCACATACACCTATTGAAAAAGGAGTTATACACTTCAATACAAAACAGATAGCTGTTGAAATGAAACCAGGAAAATATTCCATTATATCCAATACACAAAGTATTAGAAGCAACTCAACAAATACAGATTCAGAGGAAGAAACATCTATTGAGGAGACGGTTCAATCTAAAAGTTTAAAGAAATTACAAAATGAAAATAGAACATTGAAATGGAAGTTGCAGAGACGTGATAAAAAGATTAGTTCAATGGAAACAATGCTTAATGAATTACAACAAAAGCAAATCATGGATAATGACAGTTTGTAATTACTAAAAGAACACTTTGGTGGTGTTATGTTCGAAATTATGCAAAATGAAGTAAGAAACCAGAAGCGCAAAAGTAAAGGTGAACATTATACAGATGAGGTGAAAGAGTTTGCTTTATCTTTGTATTTTTCATCACCAAAAGGTTATGCATTTTGTAGGTAATAGGTTTTCTTTTTTCCTTCTTTTTTAATGTCCTTATTGTCCGTTACAGATACATTAAAACAACACAGATACTTTCTACAAACGTCTTAATGATGTTCCAAGATTCTAAGTATGTTTTTTGAGACGTTCTTAGAACATTGTATGCTGCATGGGCATAAGTTTTATTTTATTAAATAACTGTTTTTCATAAAAAAATAACTAATTATTAACATTTTCTGCTTTTAACTCGTTTCTTCTTCAATATTCTGTTCTGTTCTTCAATGCAAATAGCTCATACTATTATAAAATATTTTTAAACTCTTTTTATAAAATCTTGCATGGTGTGCAATTTAACTAGATGTTAAATTAAAAAATTTTTAAAGTTAAATATTTAACTAACCTGTAACTGGTGAATGGTAATAAAACTTGGTATTGTATTTATTGCACTGTTGATATTACATGTATTTATGAAAAAATAATTTGTTACTGTTATTCATATATAAATCATATATCAATAGAAAAAAAACTGTGGTGAAGCCAATTGTTGATGTGAAGTTGAAAAAAATGCTGCAATTTTAATATAAAATGAGATCATATTTTTATTGCTTAATAATTGCATCTTGTATATGTTACAATGAAATAATGTTAATGTTCATTATTAGTGCAAACTCTATATATATATTTTTTTAGTAAAATATTACATATTTTCCAGGAAAATGTTCAGATTACCTGCTCCATCAACTTTGAGAAAACTACTATTGTCAGTTGATGCAGAGCCTGGCTTCCATGAAAACGTATTATCCGAGATAGGAAAACTGTCGACAGATGATCGATATTGTAATCTTGTGTTAGATGCCATGGCACTCAGGAAACGAATGATATGGGATGATTATAAGCATCAAATGGTAGGCATACCTGATTATGGAAATATGGGACTGTTGGGAAAAATAGATTCCAAAGACAAGATCGCAACCGAGGCATTGATGTTTATGCTTGTTAGTCTTAATGGAAAGTGGAAGTGGCCTATTGACTATTTAAAAGCAATATGACATCAATAATGCAGACTGAGCTAATAAAATCTGCATTAATATTGACTGATAAGTATAATATATGTTCATGTTATGTATATATATATTTTATATATGCAAGGTTGAAATACATGTTATGAAATAATGTTTAAAAATAAAAAACAAGTAAATATATAAAAGGTTCTACTTCATTACACATATGATCTTTTTTATTCAATCTCATCTGAATTTATATCAATTTTTCCTTTTTTGGCATATATAAATATGTGAAAATAGTTAATAAATTAAGTTAACTTTACACACACACACGTGTGTGTGTATATATATATATATATTTATATATATATATATATATATACATTTCACAATGTTTCCTTATAATAAAGAAAAGAATTACACATTTCTTTCCATATTTCTCTTTATTTTATTTGATTTTTCTACATATATTAAATTTCAATTAAAATATATAATATTGACTTCAGTAGTGACTGTCCGTGTGATTTCTGTTTGGGTGAGTACTGGTACCTTCATCATGGCGGCATACACCCCCTCCACTTGCGACACGTTTTGCCAGAAGTCAGCGGTCTAGTTAGTATATAGAAGTCTGTGCTCTCTGCTAATACCTCGTCTACAATAGAAGTCATAGAGTCGTAAGTCGTAGAAATTGACCAATCATAGTCCGGTAAGAGAAAAATAATCGACCGCGATTGGTTAATTTGTACGACTTACGACTCTATGACTTCTATTGTAGACGAGGTATAACTTTTTCACTGACTGTACCTCATTATCTCCACTTTTGACGGCACTGTGGGTCAGACAAGGATAAGAGAGGAACCAGGGAACCTCTCTCTCTATTCGCATGCAAACAATAAGATCGCACGCCAATCGCTCGTTCCAGTTAGTATATATTTCAGTGGTAATATTTAAAATTAGATTATCATCTATCTGTTTTCTAACTTGTTATCTTTTTATAGAAATAAAACGAATGAGAACCTTGCGCGTTTTGTCGCTATCATTGAGACAGACGTAGTTCATATGCACTTTCTAAGGTAGCGCTTCAAAACTATATTATCTGAAATTCCACTCAATAGTCGCTTTTTCAGGTTTCCCTCTACTTTAAGTTATTGGTTGCGTTCAGAAAACAAAGCGCTTACTGAACGCTTAGTAATTATTGGTCCTTACTGTTAGATCCTTTACATTCGGACCAACATTGACGAATTACTCAACCGTTGTATAACCGTTGTGTTTTCTGAACGCAGCCACTGTATTTGGTTACAAATGGTTACAAATGGTACAAACAAGTAGAAGAACGAACACAGGAAATTAATAAAACAAACCTATTCTGAAAATGGGTCCTCCAAAACGTTTTAAGAGAGACAATAGTACGTAATTTTATTCTTTAAATATTATCTTGTATTTATTATAAGTTATTTTTTTATTTTACATGTTTTTTATGAAATCTGTTTTAATATTGTTATTTATATTTTATATTATGATGTGTATAATATATGTATAATATGTGTAATATATATGTATATATTATTGATAAACAATTATATATTTCACTTAAACTCAATATTTGTTTTTATTAAAGCTAAATGGAAAAAGCGTAAAGATGATTATGATGAATACAATGATGAGGATTCAATAGATAGTAATGAAGCTGATGGTGTGCCAGATGCAGCAAAAAATGATATAGAAAAGCAAGATGAGACTGCAATCGAAGATGAGTTTGGAGCAAAAGATTATCGCTTGCAAATGATTTTAAAACCAGATTGTGCATCTAGACCATTATGGGTTGTAAGTTTCAAATTTTAAGTGAATATCAAGTAAAACTTTCAAATTCTATACAACTTTGATGAAAAGACCATATTAATTTTTTTTGAAATTCGTATAGGCACCTAATGGACATATCTTTCTGGAATCTTTTTCTCCTGTATATAAACATGCTCACGATTTTTTAATAGCAATATCAGAACCTGTATGCCGACCTGAATATATTCATGAAGTATGTTTAATTAAAAATATATAAAACATACAATGATTTTAGGACTGGTATGGTTTATATTGTGGATGATAATATATTTTTCAATTTGGACATTTTGATGACGCTAGGATTGATTTGTGAGAACTGAAATTAGCAAATTCTGATTTCTTGTAATGGCAGTAAATATAAACTAATTATAAAGTTTTATATATTAAAAATATAGTTGCTATACCAGTTCCAAAGTCGTTTGATTTTACATTATAGTAACTAAAATTTTTGTACAATAATATACATATTGTACAATAATATACATATATAATTATCTTAACAATTTTTTTCAGTATAAGCTAACTGCTTATTCACTTTATGCTGCAGTTAGTGTAGGTCTTCAAACAGAAGATATAATAGAATATTTAAAAAGATTGAGCAAGACTAGTGTTCCTGATGGCATAATTGAATTTATAAAACTATGTACATTATCATATGGAAAAGTGAGTAAACAAACTTTTAGATACGACTAGAAAGCAGATTTTATATATTAAAATATTAATGAACTGATATTACAATACTTGGAATATATAAGAAAGTCAAAACTAATCATTTTTTGTTCATATGCATATTAGGAAATGCTTCATTTTTGTGCCATAACCTGAAAATATTTCCATTTGAATCCATCTATAGATAAACCAACTTTCGATTTTTGTAGATCATATGACAAAATTCTACAAAATTTTGTGGAATCATATTTTTTTAGCATAAATTGATTCCTTGTGTTATTTTGTGTGTAAAAATACTAAAATAAAATCAAAATATAATACTTCTTAAGGTGATTTACATTTTGTTTTAACAATTATTCATATATTTTATTTAACATACACATATAATGTATGTATATATATATATATATACATATATGTATGAATGTGTGTATATATAACACAAATATGCACTGGAGTTTTCATTTTCCAAAAAAAAAATAATCTCTTCAATGTTTTTATACGCTGAATGATTTATAAAATTAATTTCTATTAAAAAATATAAATGATGATAAAAAATTGAAAATAAACTTATCTATATGGAATCTCCTGGCCTATATTGTGGAGAGACAACATTTATATTTTCTGAAATATGTGTGTTAAATTAAGTGATTAACTTGGGCACTTTTCTTTTTAATTCTACCTAATGCTGTAGTATCAATTTATTCATACAAATTTATATGAAAACAAAAAATTGATATGAACTATTACGACCCATTTACAGATCGCAATATGTAAAACAGTAATTGCAAGATGCAGGAATTAATGAATCCATCATTTTCCTCACATTTGACTGTAATTGATCAATTTTTGCATCCTGCGATCTGCGTTTTGCGTGTTACGACCTATGTAGACGGGTCATTACAAGTAACAAATATGATACGTTGTTATTTGTTGACATGAATTTTATGAATATATAGGGCAAGACAATAACTATTGTCAGCTTGAGTATCTCAGATATTGAAAAAAAAAAAGAGGAAATAATACAAAAGTTTTATAGTTTAAAGAAGTAGAGTGTTTTAAAAAAATATTCATGGCTTTAAGGGCAAATAATACCTACAAAATGGGGGAAAAAAAGTCCTAATAAATATTAATCAAAAAAATTAATATTGTTGGAGTTATGAACAATTATTTATTTTAATTAAAACAGGTGATTTGTTTGCTTCTAGTACTTTTGTATTCTCTGATGTAATTTATCTATGTCATTATGACTAAAAAATACCATATTTTAAAGAAATCTCCAAAAAAAAAGTGTCTTCACTCTTAGAATGGAAACAAACATTTATTTTCTTTTTATTTATGCACACGCTTCACTAAACAACTATTAGTTTTAACATATCCTCGTGAATAATGAACGGTTGCAGAAAGTTTTCACAGTACAGTAAGAATGACATATTACTGTAATCAAGAAATGCATTTTATGTCGTGCATTAGAAGCGAATAAGTAACTTGATTTAATTAAAAAAAAGATAATTATAATTTCGACAATATTAATTTTTATATTTATTAAAATTTTTTATTCTTTCATTTTGTGAGTGCTCTTAAAGTCTTCAACTCTTTTTTGTAGCACTCTATATGTCGATAATTATTCACTTTGTAATCTCGCTAAAATCTCGCTAAAATATGAAGGTAAGGTGATATAAAGTTCATTTTTAATTTTTTTTTGATAGAACTATATAACTTTTTTTAACATTTTTTTATATATCTTCAACTTTTATTATATCCAACTTTAATATATCTTCAACCTACTTTGAGATCTATTTGACTATATGACATGCTAACTCTTTTCCTCCTTCATCTAGAAAACAAATAGAATAGTTTTCTTTTTAATTTCTTTTTTCTTTCATGTTCTCGACTTATATCCCTATGTTCTTGTATTAGTAAATTAGTTGTAACGTATTTCAGTTGTCGTTTTGTATGCTATCTATGTCGAATATAATCTTTTTCTTCAACGTATTTTTTTTCTCAAACATATACTCTCTTTTTTCTCATATAACTTGCACTTTGCCTCTCCTTATCCTCTCCCTATACTTGCTGCTCTCCTAATTTAATTCTTGTTATTAAAATGGGAGGGTCTCCTCCCATTTTCACCTGCATCTGTTCCTACTTCTCTTTATTAACTTCCACTAGCTATCTTATTAATCTAATATTATCATCTATTTTGAAATTTGTTACTGTTGTTCTTATATATCTGTTTCCATTTTTCTTTAATTTTTTTAATTCCACTGCTTTGTTTTTATCCCCATATTTTTATACCTATAATTCCATAATATTATTATTTTGACTTATGTTTCCCTTCTTTATTCTATCTCTTTTCTCTTTATCTTTTTTAATTATACTTTTATGTTTACACATATTAATCCTAGTCTCCCTTTCCCTTTGATCTAATTTTTTCTTTGTTATATCTGATTTATTTGTCTCTATTCTAGTCACTAATTTTTCCTTCATTTCCCTAAATTTCTGTCTTATTATTTTCTTATTTTTTCTAGTCTTATTTTTCTAGTCTGTCTTATTATTTTTTCTAGTCTACTTTGTATGTTCTTAAGTTTCAGTTTATCTAGTGTCTTCCATTTTTTATAGAATCTTCTAATATATTCTATCATCTTAAGGTTAATTCTTTTATCCATTTCCCATTCTATTTCGTTTGCCAGTCTTTGCCACAGCTTTTTTTTCCTCCTTTGTCTTCTCTTTCCGTTTTTTGCTCTTCCTTACAAATCTCCTTGATTCTTAATACATTCATATCTCTTTCCTTTATTCTACCTCTCCACTTATGTATCTTTCCATATTTAACTACTCTGCTCCAACTCTGCTTTCCCTCAGATTTCTAAACTTCTATCTCTCTTCTTTCTAATATTGCAAATCTATTACTGTCAGTTTTTTCTTGTTATTTTTAATTAATCCTTTTCTCTTCATATACCATTATTCTTTCCTTCGCTCTTATTTTATTTACTTCAACTTGTTTTTTATATATACTTTACATCTTCTGTCATTAGCTCTGTGTTCTTCTTTGCAGTTTATATATTTCTCCTTTTCATTCATTCGCCTTCCATAATACTCTTCTTTACAAATGAAATATAGTCTCTGTTTTTTGCAATTTCATATTAAATAAAGAGACATTGCTCTTTTTCATCCATTCTATCAATAAATTCTGTTAGCATGTCACTCTAGGATGTAATCATCCCTTTACTAATCCTATTAATTCTCATATATAATATTCTTTTCTCTTCCTTATCTCCTAGATCGAGACATCTATCTGCAGTTTTTGCATCCTTGAAAATCAAATCTGCCACAGTGGAACTATTGTCAAGTATCTTCTTCGGCTTAACATTGTCTTTCATTATCTGACTTATGATATCGATTTTATTTTCTGTTTTCTTGTGCAGTGTTTAACTTTTACTTTAATTTTACTATTACAACAAATTCCTTGCTATCGCCACTTTGAAATCTTTTACTCTCGGCTATAGCCATATTCTTATCTCTATGTGTTAGCGAATCAATCTCATATATTTCCATTAAACCATTAAAGATTACCTTCAAATGACTTTTACAAGATTACTGATAAGTAATATTATCATACTTCCTTAATACTGTAAAACATGTCTGAAACATTTTTTTATATATTTTCCTTAATTTCTGAAATATTCAAAATGGCAATAATTATTAACTCATATAATTATAAAAGTTTGCAAATATTTTTGTAGGTTAAACTTGTTTTAAAACATAATAAGTATTTTATTGAATCTCCGTTTCCGGAAGTTTTACAAAGATTATTAAAAGATCCAGTAATTCAAGAATGTCGATTGAGAAAAATTGTAGAAGATACAGAAGTTGATGACATTACTACAAATATTCAGACCAAAATAAAAACTCAGGTAAAAACATATACAGGGTGTCCCATTTTAAAGGACTCACTCAAATATCTCAGAAACACTGCGTTAAACTAAAAAATGCTTAAGACAAAAGTTGTTTAGCTTAAAAGGGGCCAGCGATAGCATTTTGTTTATAGATGGAGCCACTTTCAAGATATTCACTGATTATCAATTTTCTTAAATGGAAATCCCAATTTTTTATTATATCATCTTTTTCTACCAATTAATTTAGACAACTTTTGTCTGAAACATTTTTATTTGCTTAATATATTTTGAGATATTTAAGAAAAACTTGGTAACTTTTCCAACATTTACCTTACGATATCTCGCTAACTATTCGTCGAAAGAAAAAATAGTATTAGACTTTTTTACGTTATTTACTATCAAGAATATATTACTATAATAGTGCCCTAACTTTTATTAACTTATCGATCTTTGGAAATTTCAAAATTATTAAATTAATAAAAGTTAAGGCACTATTATAGTAGTGTATTCTTGATAGTAAATAAAGTAAAAAGGTCTAATATATTTTTTCTTTCGACGAATAATTAGCGAGATATCATAAGGTAAATGTTGGAAAAGTTACTAAGTTTTCCTTAAATATCTCAAAATATATTAAGTAAATAAAAAAATGTTTCAGACAAAAGTTGTCTAAATTAATTGATAGAAAAAGATATAATAAAAAATTTGGATTTCCATTTAAGAAAATTGATAATCAGTAAATATTTCGAAAATGGAGCCATCTATAAACAAAATGCTATCGCTGTCCTATGTCCCCCTTCAAGCTAAACAACTTTTGTCTTAAGCATTTTTTTATTTAATGCAGTGTTTCTGAGATATTTGAGTGGGCCCTTTAAAATGGGACACTCTATATATCTATAATTAATGGCATATTTTTTATAATGAAATATATATTCACTCCTTATATTGGAATATAGTTTGGAGCAAAATCACTCGCAAATACATTTGCACCTAGTAAAACAAATCCAGAGACTCCTGAATCTGGCCAAATATCAGCAGAAACAGCTAATATTCCAGAAGACATAACTGCGTTTTATAGTAAAATTGATAAAGAGGATGAAGATGAGGAAGAATATCAAGAATTAAAAACAGTTAGCTTTGAAGTGAATCAGGTATATACACTTTTACACACATATATGTATGTATATATGCATGTATGTATGTATGTGTGCATACATATGTGTATACAGGGTGTATCTAAAAGTATGTTACAAATTTTAAGGGCGTATTCTAGGAGTTAAAATAAGAAAAGAAGTTCCTATAAACATGAGCCCAAAAATGCTTTCCCTCCGAGTTATAGTCCCCTAAAGTTGGGGGGAAAAAAGATCGTCGAAATTTTATACAGCGTAATAATTAATAATGACCTCGATAATGACCTTCATTTTTATATGGTTTTGACAATTTAGTCCGATTTTGAAGGGGAGATATGGAAGGGGGTGCTAATTTTCAAATGGCCATATTCTTTTATTTTTCGTCGTATCGAATATGGCCATTTGAAAATTAGTATCTCCCTCTATATCTCCCCCTCAAAATTGGACCAAATTGTCAAAATCACATAAAAATGAAGGTCACTATTAATTATTAATTATTACGCTGTGCAAAATTTCGACCCAACTTTAGGGGGCTATAACTCGAAGAGAAAGCATTTTTTAACTCATATTTATAGGAACTTCTTTTCTTATTTTGACCTCTAGAATACGCCCTTAAAATTTGTAACATACTTTTAGATATATATATACATACATGTACACAAGATGACTGTGATAAAAAGTTTACCATATTCTTCTTTTCACAAACGGAGAGAAAAAGCAGGAAGACATCTATTTTCAAAATTATAAGAAGTAAGGGTATATATTTAGTGATCTTAAGTGATATTAAATATCATTTTTTACACAAAAATTTAAATTCTTATAGAAATATGTACATTTCAGTCACTCCATAAATAGTTCTCAATGAACTTGATAATTTTTGTGTCGGAGTATCTTTCACAAATTCAACTATTATTAGGAAATTGACAAAATTATAAGTCAAAAGATTTAGACTCGATTTTATTGTTACATATACATATATTATATACAATTAATGTTTAAAATATTTAAAATGTTGATTCAGACATACTTATAATCTTCGGAGAAAGCTTGTTTATTTTTCTTCAAACTTTTGTATGATTATTTCGCGAAAAATTTTGTTTACTCTTTTTACCATATTTTGTACAGAGAAACTTGGCGGTGAACATTCTGAATATTTATTATAATAATAAAAAGAATGGTCCTAAATTTTCTGACTTAGAATTTTGTTGATATTTCGATAATGGTTAAATTTTCAAAAGATACTCTGATATAAAAATTATTAAGTCCATTGAGTACTATCTGTGGAGTAACAAAAAGGTATCCTTTTCTATAAAATAAAAAAAATTTAATAACGACTTATATGATTATATTTATATAAAATTTTAATACAATTTTTATAAAATAGAAGTTACTTATAAATTGTAAAACTCATTGATACATTTTATGGAATAACTGAAATGTATCGCTTTCCATTAAAACAATTTTTTTTTTCGTAAAAAAACTCATTCAAAGTTATCAAAGTACAGGGTGTCCTAGAATGATTGTGCTAGAGTTCCTGGGTACGTAAAATGGAAGCGAACAAAAAAGTTCCATACCATTTTGCGATATTCACAATAATTATCGAGTTATTAATTATAGAAATCTAATAAATGAGCGGGCGCCGAGATGGTATAGGAGGAGCATCCAAGACGTCTATAACAGTGCTCAGTCGATGAAACAATTGTTGTGCGGCGAGGGGAAGAACAACGCGTCGATGCTTGTGTCCTTACCTCGCTTCTCCTACGTTTCTTCGCACCGCGCCGAAGTTCGCGTCAATATGTAACCGCTAAATATTCGCTATTACAATTACGAGATCATTTTATGAAGTAATAAAAATATCTCATATTGAAAACGTAAAAAGTTTTGTGATAAAGAAAAAATCGTAAAAGAGGATGCGATGGAAATCAATGGGATTACAGAGAATCTCATTGTTTTCTATTGCAATCAGTTCGCTGCATCAAATCCGAAAGAAATAATATTACTTTTCATCGTACTTTATCGTTCTCTGTTATGAGAATGTTTAATCGTTGGAGTATGATAGAATTTCCCCATAAAGACTTATCGTGTCCTATCGTTTTGTTTAAGTTTACACGAAAAAACATGTTTAGTTGAATGAATATATTTTCTGGAAATAAGAACGATTAAAAAGTTTTGATTGAGAATACCACAATTTCGTTTAAATTAACAAAAAAATCTTGATAAATTAGGCTGAGTTCTAGTAATTTTCAGTCGGAATTTCTGTACCGTTCATATTTCATCAAAAATATGTTTCATTGGATCAAACATTTCTTCCATATATTGTGGACAAATTACTGTCAGTGTATAATCAGTCAGTATAATCTGTCAGTTCATAATCAGATATATTAACGATAAAAGAAATTCAAAGTTCTCTATCGTATAATTACGAAAAGAGGTACATCATTGTTAATCCTGTACCAGCTGTACGTAAAATTGATTCCTATAAGAAAAATGTTTATAAGTTTTTATAGTAGAGGTTTTACGCTTTGACATATTCAAATGTTCTTGAAGGAACATTTATTGCTTCAAAGAAATCAAAAGAAACCGATAGAAAATCGTTGCATTGATTTTCTATTTTTCTGATGAATAGTTGTCCTTACCTTAGCTGCGTGCTGGCAAAAGTTACTTGATCGACTAGATAGCGCTATAGCCCGAGCGTCTTGAATGATCCTCTCATACCATCTCAATTCGCTATCGCGCGCTTATTCGTCAGGTTTCTATAATTAATATTATACAATAACTCAGTAATTGCGAATATCGCGAATTATTGGACGGTATGTTTTTGGTTTGTCTTAATTTATTCTTCTCACCGCGCCTAAGTTCGCGTCAATATGTGACCGCTAAATATTCGCTATTACAATTATGAGATCATTTTATGAAGTAATAAAAATACCTCATATTGAAAACGTAAAAAGTTTTGTGATAAAAAGTTTGTGAAAAACGTTTGTTTTTGGTTTGTCTTAATTTATTCTACGTCCCCACCAGCTCTAATAGAATTATTTTGGGATACCCGGTATATGTAAGGTGTCCCACTTGTCCTATTATTTTGATAGTGAATCATTTTGGCAATTTTTTGTGAGGAAAACGCAATAAACTTTTTACACACATTTTGTATACAAGTTACGGCAAATTGAGACGTCCATAGAACGTAAATTTTACATGATATAAATAAAAAACAAAGCAAAATAAAAAAAAATATTTCAGATATAAATTGTAAGATTTCGATAAAAAATATGTGGTGGTGCTTTTGATAGAGTGTCAAAGTAAAATGTTTATTTTGTGCTTTTTAACAGAATCCTAACTTTTTTAAAGACCCAAGTTGGTAGCATTTTTCATAATGAATTCAATGACTATACATCTAAAGTCATTCGAAGTCAAATAATCGAAGCAGAATTTATGAATATGTTCATTTTCTAAAAGTTTTTACACAAATTAATATTAGGTGTGTGAATTAATTCGGTCTGTTTTTTCTTCCAAAAAAGACTTCAGTATGAAAAAACATGAAAAAGTACACTAATCAAAGTATTTGCCATCGCTTGCTATTATTTTTTCCCATCTGTCTGACAGTTGTTGCATTCCGTGACGGAAAAACGACTCGTCCTTCGAAGCGATCCATTCATTGAGCCATTTCTCTATTTCTTCATAATTGTTGAAGTGTTGGTCCGAAAGCCCGTGTGCCATCGATCTGAACAAGTGATAATCGGATGGAGCAATGTCTGGTGAATACGGTAGGTGAGGTAAAATGTCCCAGCCAAGTGCTTCCAAGGTGGCCTTCACAATCTTTCTAGCATGTGGCCGAGCATTATCGTGATGGAAGATCACTTTGTCGTGTCTCTTTGCATATTCCGGCCGCTTATTCTTCAATGCGTTGTTTAAACGGATTAATTGTTGTTGGTAAAGTTCGGCAGTGATGGTTTGGCTCTGTTTTAATAGTTTATGATACACTACACCCTTCTGGTCCCACCATATACAGAGCATTACTTTCTTGCTGTAAATATTTCGTTTTGGTATCGATGTGGATGATTTTCCTGGGTCGTTAATGGATTTCCTTCGTTTGGGATTATCGAAATATATCCACTTTTCGTCTCCAGTCACAATACGATGCAAAAAACTTTTTCTTTTTTGCCTGGCAAGCAAGATTTTAGACATGGATTTTCGCCTCTTGATGTCTTTTTCTTTCAGTTTTTTTGTATGCACCCATCTTCCTTCTTTGTAAATCTTTCCCATGGCTGCCAAATGCACAGAAATTGTTGATCGATCAACATTCAACAATTGCGCGAGCTCATGTTGCGATTGACACGGTCATCGATTAGCGCCTGCAATTCCTCGTCTTCGAACTTCTTCGGCTGACCTGGACAAAGTTTGTCATCGACACTGAAATCATCACTTTTGAAATGTCGAAACCATTTTCTGCATGATTTATCGGTGGGAGCACTTTCACCATAAGCTTCTACGAGCATTCGATGAGCTTCAGCGAATGTTTTCTTCAAATGAAAACAGAAATGAGAACTTCCCGGAAATGATGCTTTTTTGGCTCGAATTTCGACATTTTCGAATCAGATAAACATGATATTATTGTTACAAACCCAAACGTTTATCAACTGAATATTATTGCCAGATATCAAAACTAAAAAATAAAGCCTTTTGCAGACATTAGAGATTAGAAAATTACATAGTACAGCAATTGACCGCCAAATGGGCCGAGTTAATTCACACACCTAATATAATGAGAAACATAATGATATATAATGAGAAACATCTGATTAAACACTTCAGATTAGAGGAACATTCACTGGTCTGCTCATTGACCAAACTTAATATTTCTAGATTTTTTGGTTTTTATGGGGATTTCTAAAAAAAAGGGGAAATATATAAAGATATATTAAGATGTATCAACTATGCCAGAAAATATGAAAAAAAACGCATTCAAATTCTTATTGCAATATTAAGAAATACTTCATTAAACATTCACCAATCTTTCTTTC